CCGTAGGAAGGCAGGGATTTCGGCCTGCCCCGTAGGAAGGCAGGGATTTCGGCCTGCCCCGTAGGAAGGCAGGGATTTCGGCCTGCCCCGTAGGAGGCAGGGATTTCGGCCTGCCCCATAGGTGCCCGGTGCCCGCGGGTCCTGCAGCAGGTCACAGCTTCTGTGCTCGCTCTTGCAGGGCCCCGCTGCGGACACCGTCTCGCGGAGCCCCTCTGCGACGCGGCGCGGGTGCAGACAGCGCCAGGCCTCGCTTCTCCATCGTATAGTTGTATGTAGCAGAACTTGTATTGCAATAAGTAGCTGTATATAAGGATAAGATACGTCAACTTGTACAAACATTTGCTGTTATTAGGCTTCTGCTTTCACTTTCTGACTCTGCACTACGGCTGTCCCTGAAAATCACAAAATACCAAATGCTGCTCTTATTGATGAGTAGAGTTGTCAGTAACTGGTGCTATCCTAAGATCAGTTTGCCTCAAGGGATGTAGAAAAAGAATGTGCAACAATTAACAGGATGTTTCTAAATCATTCGCAGGCACAAGGTAACCACATTTACCCGCACACGTTCACTGTCTAAATATTTATGCTTTTAATTTGCAAGTTTTGTAAAATTCTTTTAGGACAGATATAAAATCTCTTTCTATTTATCTATTCCTTCTCATTAAAAGAAAAAAAAACCCTTTCAAATGTACCTTAGATTTAACTGTTGCTATTTTACTTGTGCACAGTGGCACAAGTATTGTACATTGCTATTGTACATTGTGCACAGTGGCACAATGATGCAGCTCAGGAATAATGCTGTTTTTTTAGTCATTAAGGTTTTTTAAAGAGAACAGAAACAAACAGCCTGGTGCTTCTAAAGTAGTTTTTCTTTTTTAGTAAGAGAATTAGTTTTCAACTTTTTAGGCTACCAACTGTTTTTATGTCTAGTATCAGTGCAACCTTCCTTATTAGACACAGACCCACTAAAACTGAACTTGTTGGAGAATTAGTGCTGGCCTTCCAGAGGGCTGTTATGGTCATGGTCACCACTGCTCACTGGTATATGTGGCTTTCTCCTTAGAAACCCCTCTCAAGCCTGGTGCATTATACTAAATTTCATTTTACTCAAGACTTTTAAAAGTATGTGTATGTGAGCTGTAACGTTTCCCATTTTGTTTGATTTTGTCCTCCACGTCAGCAAGCTTTGCTGGGTTGGTGTTAGTCCCCAGGGACTGTGCCAAGCGCATCACACACTGTTACAGGAAGCTGCATTTAAGCATTCTTGAGCTTTTACCCCTGGACTTAAACCTGCATAGAGAATAGACAGAGATTTTGCTGCTTTTTGGTGAGGGGTGGGCTGGGTAACCACAGTTTGAGTCTGAACTGTACACGGCCTGCACTTCACTGCAGTAGCACTGTGACCTGCTACTGTGGTGTCTCTGTTGGGTTGTCAAGCAGTGGCCTTTTCGCTGTTTGCTTGGAAGTTATACTGTTATTGAATATGGATTTTCTTGTGAGAACTGAAGTATATTTTTGAACTGTTTTCTGTTGAATAGTTTGGAAGCAGGTGCAGCAATACCTCTTCTGCAGCATCTCGTGGAATCTAATACAGTCTGCCTGTAAACTCAGCATTTGGTTTGTGTCCTCTTAACTGCAGTAAGCGACGTGCCTGCCCTGTTGCCTTTGGTCATGTCAGAAGTTGGGCCCAAGTACCTGCTGGGTTGAGAAACAGGAGAATAGCAGAGGAACGTGGCTGGCTCTGCTGGAATAAATTAGGGTGGTTTGTTTTCTCATGGCAGTCAGGATAATCTAGATCCTGCTCCACAAGGAATTATGAGACATGTATGTACTCCTGGATTTGTGCTGTCCTATCAAAGATGTCCATCTCCCACCTCAGAAGGTGAAGAGGGTCATACTGACAGTGAGCAGCTAGGTGGAGATTTCTTATTCTGTGTCCCACAGCACGTTGCAGCCCTGCTCATACTGGCCTAAGGTCCATCAGAGAGCACTGCTTCTTATGGAATGTGCATCCCACAGGAAAAACTGCCGAGCGATACCTGGGAGAGAGGCACCAATTTCACATTTCACAGTATGAACCTCTGAGCAGGACGATTGTGGGTCATGTCTCTCACCTTACTTGCATGGGCAGCACACACACAGAGCATACCCGAGCGAGATAATCTGCCTCAATGCATTGATTTATTACTTCCCTGACTTAAAAAAAAAATTCTATAGAGCCTTTGGACAGAAATGATTGACACTCCCATTTTGATGCAGCCATCAGTATTTTATAACAAGGCACCCATATTTTGGTACTGAAGCAAACCATTTTCTTACTATCCTTTTATTTCCAGTGATTAGATGTTAAAATCTGCTAGCACTGGAGCTGCTCTGAAACCATTTGACATTACAAACAACAGGGAATCTTTTCATAGAGAACACCTCTGAGCTGGTAACAGTAATAGGTTTGAGCACCAACTTAAGTGCAATTACTTGCAGAACAATTAAATCTTGTTTTATTTTTTTTCTAGAGTTCCTTAGAAGCAGAAGACACCGACCTCCTCTTCCCCTCTGCTCCACGGGCGCATCCCTGGCCTAGAGCTCTGCTGCCTCCCGACAAGCAGCACTTGGTTCACTCCAGTCCTCTAAAATATTCCGGAAAATATTCTGGAAACACATCTAACACCTCCGACTCAAGTGTCGGGACCTCAAGTCCACGAAGGAAAACCTCTGGACTCTCGTGTAGTTGCTCTACTGATAGCTTTGTTGGCCTCAGTCATTCCCGGCAGCATCAAGAAACTAAATGCAAGGTATACAGCAGGGATCTCCTAGACAGGCACTCTGACTTCTTTACTGATAGTCGAAAACCTTTCACTCCACGCACCTTAATATCAGATGCTAAATCCTTCCTGTCACAGTACAGGTATTACAGCCCTGCTCGGAGGAGAAGGAAAGGTCGCTATAAGCAGCAGGTGGATGCTGAAACACAGACTGACGTAATCAGGTACAGAGGTTCAATCTTTGTTTTGCAGTTGTGGAATTTATCTGTTACCATAACAGAATCTGCATAAAAGCAACAAATTTTACTCTTATTTGCATAGGTATAAAACCAGATAGAATATTCTGAGTTTATAAAGTATTCCAGAATATAACTAATATAATTTACATAACTCCACTACTTTCATCTAAACAAGTTTACAACTTGTATATACTTTGTTACACTAAAACCAACCTGTGGGATCCTGCATCCATTGGAGAGCCATTCTTTGCTTTTCTTTAGCTCTGCTCTCCCTGGTTTGTGGTTGGGCTTTCTGTCTTCTGAATAGTTACCTTACTGTTAGCCTTAAAATCTAACTTGCATTGCCCTTGTAGTTTTATGCTCTCCAATTCATTACCTAATATCTCATGCAGAGATCCCTTTCTGTGTTTAATCTTGAATGTTATCTCTTCACTGACTTTTTATTAATTTATATTCGTTAAGAGCCATGCTATATGAAGTCTTTATACAAAAATTCCATCCTTCTTTCATATGGAAGTTGGTGAATTAAACATTTTTAGGTTTGTTTTGTTTTCCCTGAGGCTCCTTCATAAAGAGGTCTGTCTTGTGTCCTTGCTGCCTGCTTCCCCTAATTCTCTTTTTGTCCTTGCACAATGCAGGACATCTTGATTCTAGACCCATTGTGGCCACAGCAGGTAGCTCAGACCTAAGAGATTAGTTAGCACTTAAAATATAAGGCAGATTGGTTATACTCTAACTGAAGCTATTCTCTTGTGCAAAAAGAAATATGAAAAGAGAAAGAGAAAAAAGGGAATCTGTCTGTGCATTGTGATGAACAGAAAAAAAATCTACTCAATACTGTTATTGGAGAAAAACAGAATACCTTAATTCTTAGGGCATTAGGACATTGTGTATGAATAGGAAAGTACTCCCAAATTTTCTCCTCAAATCCATCATTTAAAAAAAAATCAAATCAAGAATAACATTCTTTTGCTTGCTCAACCACCTACAGGTCCCAGTTTTCAAAGACTCGGAGATCTTAGTGGAGGAAGTTTCTTCCTGAAGTTTCTAGTGTGGAAAGGAGTGACTAGTGTCATGGCTCAAAATTAAGTATAACTTTTAATATGTGAGTGGAGGTCTGGCTGAAATCTTTTAAACTGCCCAACTGGGCAACTGGGAGCCCATTTTAAATTATGGGCAGTGAATTCCCATTTGAATTCCCATCATGGTGCTGAAATTCTCACCCTACATATTTTGTAACTGAGCTGCTTAGAGACCTAACACATCTCAAAATTTTGTAGCTTTCCCTCTGCAGACAAAGCGTCGGAGAGAAAAGCTATGACTGATCACCAGAAGATCGCAGTGCAGGTAATACAACCCTGATCAAGCTGGGAATTTCATGTTTTGCCATTAGACTTCAGAGTTGAAGCAGAATGCCATCGTCTTTGGGAGGGAAGCATGCAAAAAAGTGTGAAATCAAATCTTTCTTCAAATCTCAATATATTTTGACTTGGTTCATGCTCATCCTTGCATGCAAGAGTTCAGTCAGGAGTTAGGTTAACCAGAAGTTAGCCAGTGTACAGACAGTACGTCCTTAATGAAGAGTCCTGCCATATGTAAGAGAATGACTTGAACAACTAGAGACTTTCTTTGTGAAGAAGGGCCACGAGTTCAGACTAGTCGTGTCTTTGGCGTAATAAGGCAAGTAGTAGTTCTATTTTTTTGAGGAGTGATAGATAGTATGTGTTTATAGTTTTGCTGAGAATAGAACAGGGGCTGCACCTGAATTGATCTGCAGCTGACCTCACTGAAAGTTAAATGATTAGTCAGGAGGCTTCACTCCAGTTCCACGAAGAACTTTGCATTTCAGAATTGTCACATTTGACTTTGGCTGTTATAAGAGCAACAACAGTAAGTTGTGGAGCCTTATTGGCCTTTTCAGGGTATTAGCATTTAAAGTGTATATAGTGGGCAGCTTTACCTTCCCCCTGACTCGGGAGAAGTGCTTTGGAGGGGTCGTTCCTGTTTCTGCACGCTGGATTTTGTTCTTGCTTGTGACGGGACCCCCTCTGGCCTTCAGAAAAATCTTCTTGGGGAGAAATCTTCCCACGTTCCCATCGCCCCTGCTTGAAATTGGAGATGCTTTTCAATGCTGATGGCCCTCTGCTGCCAAGTGTCTTAGTTTTCCAAAAAAAGATGCAAGATTTGTAGAATTGCTCAATCACACACCTTTTTTAGATTAATTTTGATTGTAAAATCTGCTGTGTATTTCCACTGCTAAAATATATCTTATCTCTGTTGTAGGCTGAAGATAAAAGACGTGTTTTGGATAAGTTCGAGAGAAAATCTGCTTTTCAGAACTCCTTCCCAAGGTACCTGATTTACAGTAGAAAGAAACATGTGAAACCTTCCATGTTGCTTTCCATACAGCTCATTCTTGGGCCTATCACCCATCCTGGCCATTTCTCTCTGGCAGTCTCCTCTCACAGGACTCCCTCTGTTTAGGTTAATGGTCTCACACCTTCAAAATTTACAGTTTTCTTCTGATGAAGTTCCACTGTGAAGCTTAGAAAAAGAGGTCTGAAATGTGTGAATATTCCCTTTTCACAGATTCACAGAATATTTAAGGTTGGAAGGGACCTCTACAGATCATCTAGTCCAACCTTCCTGCTCAAGCAGGCACACCTACAGCATGTGGCACAGGGTGGCATCCAGGCGGGTTTTGAAGACCTCCAGAGTAGGAGACTCCACAACCTCCCTGGGCAGAGTTAACTTAACTTTTGTCAGAGTTAACACAGCTGTTAGTGCTAAACACGTATCTGAGCTCACAAACTCTGTATTTCTTACCTAGTTCTATGTTTAAGTCCTGGACTGGCATGCCCTTTTTTCTAATTCTTCTCATAACTCCTGAATGAAAGAAAAATAATGGATTTTGATTCATCCTGCTAATACTACAGTAACTGAATAGTTCAGTTGCATCACTTCATTGTCTGTATAATACTAAAGATAGAAAAGGGAAGGGATTTCAGGTTGTTTTGTTTTGTGTTTTTTTTTTATCTGCAATTTACCTGTTTCATAACGGGAAAAATACTACCAAGCAAGACTTGTTAGAGCCAGAGCTGCATAAATAAGATCATGTCAAGCTTCCATTCATTTATTTATTCTTCCACAGTTCAGTTCTTTGATTTACATAAAGATCTTATTTTTGTAATCATGCTTACGTCCCGTGGAAATATTTTTTTAAAAATAAGTTCAGTGGCTCAGTATTTCCGTTGTAGAAAAGGGTTTCGAGAAATTACTTTAAAGGTATTACTGTGAAAAGGAAATAGTAGCATTTTAAGTTGCAGTCATCTTCCTATACTTAATTGTTTATAAGGAGCTCATACATACATAGGGAGCCTAATCTGAATAAATACTGTGTAAATAAAAGCACTCTTTATGGATAAGAGATTTTGGGATAGCTTTTGGAGTGACACTGAGGTCTTACCAGCAGTTACACAGCACAGCTCCTGGAGGGTGTTAAAATTCTCCTGACCCACAGTTTTTCAGGCTTGAAGGTAAGCAGTGGAGTTCACTCCTGGATTTGAGGGGTTTTGTTTTCCAGTGTGTTTTTCCTGCAAGAGGTGAGGTGGGCAAATGGCATAGGGTGGCTCCAGGAGTGAGAGAGATGCAGGGTAATGTGCACGTGTTGACAACACTGCATTTTGCTCTTTCTTACCGTCTGCTTTTCTGATTAGATCAACACCCATGTATTCCAAGCAGCCTTCAGCAGCGAGGAAATTCCAGTCTGAGTAAGTATATTTAAGCCCTTATTTCTGCTAGGTTGCAGCAATAATAAACTAGAAAACTGGGCTCAATGTGGATGAGACAATTGAAACACTAAATGAGGACTGCAGAGTAAATTCCTGTTCGCAATCTAAAATAGAGTTGTCCTACTGTGAACAATTTATATCATAATATATATAAGATATATATAAAAATATAAAAACTCAAATATTTTGGAGAGTGCCTCATTGTAGTGATTAGCATTAACGTTATGACAATTAGCACCTGATGCCAAAAACTGTAAAATCTCCTTAATAGCATTTTCATTAAAGGTGATCGTTCCTATTGTACTGTGTGACAGGTGTCTCTATTTGTAATAAGTTTAACACTTTATATACACTTTTCTTTTCTCCCTGCAGAGAAGAGGAGCTTTTATATCTGACTTTCATCGAAGATGTAACAAAAGAAATTCTTAAGTTTGGGCTCTTTTCTAACAGGTAGGATATGCTTGTTTTCAAATTTGTGATGCTCTGTCAAGTACAAATGGAATCTATAAGAATGGGAAGTTATTACTCATTTTGTAGTCTTTTCATTGCTTATTAAAAGTATTTAAATACACCATTACCCTCACCCTTATTTTATTTCCTTTCCTTTCCTTCTTTACATAAAAAACACCTGCTCTACCTTAGTTACCTGCTGTCTACCATGACATGCATATCTCCGTATCTCTGTATCATGTCTGCCCTTTTCCAGTATGAATTCAGACTCCTCCAACACGGGTGTAAGAATTATATACTATTCCAAATAAGGGTTCACTGGTTATTAAGTCATATTTTTAATTACTAGTTATTATACAAATCCTGTATTTGATTAGTGCTCCTTAGCTACTCTTTCTGATATGTGACCAAAACGCAGAGAGCTTTGCTATAAATCACACCATGGGACCTGTGTGCTGCCCAGAACTGAGCCTGCTTCTGCACACATGGAAACGGGAGGAAACGGCTCAAGGTGACACTCTCTGTGGCAGAAGATAATTAGAATCATCTTAATAGTCCCATTCAGCTAAGAAATGAAAATTTTAAAAGTGTTGTTTACATAATGTAAATGTGCTATTGTTTTCTTCCTCTTCTTAAAATGTCTTGCCTAAGGTTTAGTTGTTTATTTTTAGAGTTCTGGAAGAATTGTTTGAGTATCACATACAAGAAAATAAGCACCATCTGGATGAGGTAGGTGCTGCCTTGGTAATAGTCTCGCTCTCCACATGGGACTTCAGTGATACTTTTTTTTTTTTTTTTGGTAAGGGGAATTTACTGGTCTGTTTGTGGGTAAGGACAGCAGGAATGTTTGGCAGGGAGCATCTTGGTAAATGAGCCGTGTACGGGCCGCTGAGCTGTAGCCACGTGTGAGTCGGGCGCAGGCACCGAAGGGGCCGGGGTGGGCGCTCGTGGAAGGGCCCCGCGAGCCCAGCCCGGGTCTCTCCCTCCCAGAGGAAGATGCGTTACCTGCTGGACATGCTCAAGGTGGACCTGGGCAGCGGGCCCGGCCACCTGGGCACCCTCGAGGCCGTGGAGGAGCTCAGGGCCCCGGGCGCAAGGCGGAGGAAGGCTCCACGAAGCGAGGAATTCCTTAGGAACACGGATTTGTTATGGATGGGACCCACCAAGTGCGAGTCACCCGTGAATTTCGAAGGGTCAAAGGAGCGGCAGAGCAAGGGGGGGTTTTCACCAGACATTGCTGAAATGCTGGGTGCTGGGACAGACACTCACTCCGCTGCGAAACCTGAAGGTGGCCCAGGAACTTCACCCACATTTGATGCGACTTTAAACTCTGCTGCTTGTGACAGTGATTTGGAAACCACCAAGGACCTTGATGACCTTGAGGAAAGCTTTGCAGAGGCCCTTCAGCTCTCTCCTGACTATCCAGAGCAGTAGCCAAAACTCAGCTGCTGGCTCAGGATGGAGACGCTTCCTTGGAGAACTGCCCTTCACAAAATAAATAGTAGTAAATTATTTGTTGCATCTTTGGTGTTTCTGTTTTAAAGACTGCTGCAATCTCTCGAGCAGGGTCTTGTTAATCAAGCATTAATTGTACAAATGTAGACTGCAAAGTCAGTTATCAAAAAAAAAATTGTATATTTTATCTGTAAGTATATAAGCCAGAATTTGAGAGAACTTGAGATACTTTTGAGAGTATTAATTTATATTTTTTAGGAAGCCATAGCTCTCATAAGTTATGAAATATTTATTGTTTTTATTTATAACAAATAAAACAATTTAATGACATGGTTTCAATGCAGTTGTGGTTCCTTGAGAGCAGGATCCAAGGTTGTATTTTGCAAGATGAATTCAGCTTATCCCCATCAAAACACAGTATCGGTCCGTGCTGCCAGAAGGGGCAATTTTGTGTCATTTGGAACTTAGTCCATTGTTTAATGTGAAATCCCAATGAGGCTTGAAGTTCTTACAGCTCTATTTTTTGCCTTTACAACACTTAGAGAATATTACGAAAAACTTGTACATTACCTGGAGTGAAATAAGGAATGAGTGGGGACAGGCAGCTTTCCAAACACAACTTCTTTCTGAGGCATGAGGTAAATGATCATTTTAGCGACCGCAAGCCAGAAACTGAGCCCTCTTATTCCTCACACCCACAAAAACAAAGAGCTATTTTCCAGGATCAGATGCTCGCAAGTCTTTGCTTAAGCTCCTGGCAGGAGCTCTGTGATGTTTAGTCCCGGTCGTCCCATAGTTCAGCTGGGATTTCTCAAAAGTGAATATTGCATCAATTTTCCAACTGCACAAGGCTAAATTACACAGTCAAGGCTCTTGCACTGATGACAGCCTTGTCTTCAGGATCTGCGCTGAGCTTTTCCTTTAGAGAAGAGAAAAACTGGGCCATCCCTGTGTAACAGACACCTCAGACATCCTGTACAACAAATAGAGAAAACATGGTCTATTCTGAAGTTTAAATTTAGGTTACTGAGTGCATTGGACAACCTACGTCCCAGGTTCTTAATCTAATCCAAGTGGATTTATTGCCTGGCATTTTATGTTACTGCATTTGGTCTTAGGAGCTCAGAAAGGTCCTGAGAAAGATGCCCGGCAGGTGCAGGCCTTGCTGCACGTGTGCTCGAGGAGCAAACCTGCCCCAAACCTCCTCGGAGGCCGAGCGCCGTGGCTGCCGCTCGCCCCCCGCAGCGCCGGTGCCCTCTTGGTCGCGCTGTCTGCACACAGGGTCACTTGGTGAGCTCCAACTGACACAGATCCCACTTGTGCATAGTGGGGTTTGTACAGAGCGGTGTGCAGAGCGGGGTTTGTTTTTGCTGTGTCTGTGTGACGTTGCAAGGGGCTTGTGGGCAAGTCCAGCCTTCAGCTGGAGCTCCCTGGCCCAGGGAAAAGCCGGGAAGAGAACGTGAGGGGTTTGTGTCCCCCCATCCCATCTTGTCCTGTTGAAGAGAGGCCCAGGTGCCTGATGCTGAACAGTGCAGAGCAGAGCAGGTTTGTCCCAAGTTACAGGTTTGTTGTGAGCAAATCCCTTTCCTTGGAGGCTAGGAAACACCTGCCGCATTCCCTGGCCTGGAGAATTGGCGAACAGGGGCCACCCAGGGAACCAGTCCCTGCATCTGAACGAAGGACTTGAGCACAGGCTGACTGGTCAGTCTGCTGGACACAACTCCAGCACCAAAGAAAATATGTAGACATGTTCAAATACCTCTCTCCTTCCAGCAGGATCTTGCCTCGGACCCTCCTTTCCGAGCTCCTTGAACCTGTTACACAGACACACTGACCTTGCCAAAAATGCAGTCCTTTTTTTTTTCCTTTCCCTAATCATTGCTCTGTACAACTTGCATGTCTCACAAAGGGGACACTCAATGAACTTTGGCTCGTGGTCAGCATGAGTCTGATTAAAGATTAACAGGAATTTTGCACTAAAATTCTATTTTTTTTCAAAAAAATCAATTAAAAAAAACCAGACATCACCACAAAGGTGCAATTAATGACAGCCATTCCTCAGAGTTACATAAAAATTAAAAAAACAAGTTATTTGACTGTATTTCTTGCTGATGAGCTGTCTATAAATCAATGACATTCTTTCCCGGGTGGGTGGAACCCAAGAGTAAATAAATGCATTAAAGCAAACGTTTTGCAAGCAAAGCATACAAACGGTTATGCCTAATAAAAGGCACGTGAAGGCTGCAGAGGCCCAGAGTGACCTGCGTGCTGCAGCCCGCGGCGGCGGCCAGCGCAGCGTCCTGGCAGCTACACCAGTCAGCCCAGTTACAGGAACCGGTTCCTCGGCGCCCAGACACTCCCGCCAGATAGTGGGGGAAAATATTCCAGGTAAATGTTATCTGTATATACACTCATTGGCTTATCGAGCCTGCAGAACCAAAAGGTACATTGAAGTGATGCAAGCTTAAAACCTTTTCCCTTTTATTCCCATTTACTTTAGGTGGTAGTTCAAACACAAGGTGTTTGAGCAGCGGACCTGCAAGCTGGGCCCGCATCCCTGAGAGCCTTATCGCTGACGCAAGCATCGGGCTATTTGCTCTTTCCTTTCTTCCCTCCTCTGCACACACCTGGTCTCATCCCCTCGAATCCGAGCTGGATTTTTCCCCTCTCTCCTGGTTCACTCAGGTCTTGGCAGGAGCCCTGGCACAACAAGGGGGTCCCAGCACCGTTACAAACCTGCAGGCTCTGGGCAAAATAAAATGCCTAGGAGCAGTTGATGGCTGTGGTCTGCAATACAGAGCCTTATTTCTGTGCACATTTATGTAGGGAATGGACATGGGTATGAAAACAACTTTAACCTTGACGTCATACAATGAAAAGCCAACTAGTGTTTCTTAGCTCTGTAACAAAGCAAAGCCTTATCTTTAAAACCTACCGCTCTGTCGTCAGTGCCCTTGGCTTTGAAGGAAAGACTCTGGTCACATGAAGCAAGATTCATGTGAGGAAAGAGAAAAGTACTTGGATGTCTTAGTGCTGCTCAGAAAAAAAAATTCTAACAGAGCCCAAAGTATCATTTCAGTGATTTTTAATTCAGGCTTAGCTATAGAATGAGCCCAGGGTTCCTTTTAACATTATGTTTTAACCTAATTTATAGCTACAACAGTAGTTGTAGAATGATGCTGCTAAGCTGATAGCACTGCATAGTTTAGATACAAATGGCTTCACCAGACACTGGGAGAAAAAGGGCTATTTTTTTCCTCAGCAGAGATCTGTTTTAGAGGTATGTACAAGAACACTGGGGCCTTAGCATGAGTGAAAATTAGGTCCAGCTATTTCAGCTGTAGTATTTAATGAAGGCAGTTCCAACAAAGTGATTTAAATAAAAACAATTTCTCTCCTTTAAAACAACTAAACCAGATACTCACAAACAGCCCAATCTTTCTGCTTTCTTTCACAGCACTAACAGGGAAATCTCCCTGCAGAAACAGTCGTCATCAGTTTCTTTTCCAGGTAGCAAAGACACAGGTGCCAAGAGGTGAGTGATTAATGACTCTCTGCAGCAGCCACTGCAGCAATATGGGTCACAGCTACGCGAGGGACCTCCTTTCAAAGCCCATAAGCAGGTCTCGAGCCAGCGGAAACACAACACGTAACAGGGATGATAATAGTAATAATAATCATCATCGTCATCATCTCTAGGGAGGAAGAGAAGAACCAGCCATTACTTGCACAGCAATTTTCCAGTTGAGCCTCCAGTGCATCTCCAGGGAGGCTGCATGAGAACCTGGCAGGACTTCAGAGTATTGGGTAGCACCACGATTAACTGCAGTGAATGCAGTTACAGCTGCACTCACCTTGTGGCCTTGCCAATAGGTAGGCTTTAGACCCAGCACTCTCTGCGGGCAGGAGAGATGCCAGTGGTGCCGAATGCAGCAGCTCCCAAGGACGGATCATGTCCATGCTGTGCCAATGGCTCCGGCCTCAGTCCCAGGGCTCCTGTGCGGGCCTTCCAGGCCCAGCGGCAGCAGCCCTTGAGAAGGGCAAGAAAAGGCGACACCAGGGAAGCCATCTGAAACTCGAGAGAGGCCTCAAGCGGAGCCAGGGCCCGGCAGGGCTCTCGCTGCTCCGTTCTCCCAGGCAGCGTGATCCGTAGCACGAGGTGCGGAGCCCTCCGCAGCTATCCCAGGAATGCGGCGAGGCGGCAGGACTCCCCTTGGAGGCCCGCGCGAGGCCTCGGTATAGCTCACATCCCACAGCAGCCGGGGGCCGGTTCCAGCAGGAATCACAGAGCCATGAGGCAGCCCCTGCTCCCCCCAGCTGTCTGTCCCGCTCACACACTCCCCTGCCAGGTTAGAAAGTGGGCAGCGTCCAAGGCCCTCAGCTCATCCTGCCGGCCTGGGAACGCCTCGCAGGACCTCAGAGGAGCAGACTTTCCAACCAGAAATTCAGCTTGGATGCATTTGGCACCCTGCTTTTTCCTGATGTTTGACAAAGCGAGGCCGGAGCTAATGCAGGCTGCAGAGCCCTGGAAGTGGCGCCGCGGCTCCCCAAATGCCAGGCACAGGCTCCTCAGTTACGAGGGGATCTTGAGGAAGAGGTAATAGAGCTCCTCGAGCTCCTGCCCTAGTTTTCCTTTCTCCTGAAATAAAGCAGCCCAGAAGATCTTCCCCTCCCACCTTCAGCTTTGTGCAAATGCTCTCAGCTTGAAGGCCCATCTTTCCCGGTCCTTCCTACAGCGTGGAAAGGGAGCTTCCAGCTGGAGGGCCCTGGAAGCACTACGTCCACCTGGCCAGCCCACCCAACACGTGCTCATGGCACCCTCTTACCAAGGGTGAATTGGCTCCAAGAGGGATTGCGCTGCAGGAATAAATTAATAGCTTGGCAATGCACGCACTCAGCAGTGCTCCTCACCTTATACAGACCTTGCACCTTGCAGTGCATTAAAGTTACTGCATACTCGTCTCCGAGTATGATAGCACAGGGCCCGTTCGTGGAAGGATTTGATGTCCTTCTAAATTTACATCAGGCACATGATTGTCATTTTAGAAATGGCTAATAATAATATTAATCTGAACTAAGCGGCTTAGATTAAGAAATTTCACCAGCAAGCCCTCCGAGCCTTTTCTGGTTGTTTTGTTTATTACAGCAGATACCTTAAATCCGTAGAATGAGTAGGGCTGTAAATAATACCGGGTTGGTATTTGGGGCATGACAGATGTTTGGGTTAAATTTAGGCATCTGTCTGA